GGGGGCTTCAGCCTTCCTTTGCTCCCCCCCCCTCCCCCTGGATCCGCCATTGATCTTCAAATAAACGATACGCTCGCCATGCCACAACTTTAATGGCTTCCTTGATGATAATTAAGGTAAGAGACGGTATGCTCTCTTCACCTTTTGCATGCTTTCATACTTTCGACGTTTCCTAAACGACGAATTACTTAATATTGATGAAGTAGAGAAAAGCTTTTTTATTTGATACTACGAAATATACCATTCGCTCTTCCCATTACAGCTATCGAGCTTTAGAGAGTTTTATAATTTGCAAAGGGCAACAAAGAACTTCCATTGTATTCCTTTATTATAGAAGCACCAGAAATAATGCTTGATGAATAATCTAAGGTAAAAATAGTAAGTTTAAATTGTGCGTGTTTTTGTTTTGCTTTAGAAGCACCAGAAATAAGGCTTGATCCACAAAAAGAAGCAGCATTAGGAAGCAGTGTTACAATCGACTGCGTCGCTGAGGGAGATCCAAGACCAGTAGTCAAACTGTACAGAAATGGAGTATTTATAGAAGGGCAAGAACCAACTACTTTTCCGGTATCCTTAATTTACAGCCCCTATTGATAAAACATGTTCAAAAGCAAAAAAGGGTTTCATCCATTGCAACACTCGAACGTAAAGTCATTTTTCGTTTTTATCGCACGCTGAAAAGTGAGGGCACGGTTAAGGCATAGATCGAACCCTGAAACAACCTCTGGGCTGATTTAAGTCAGGGCAAGGCTAACTCCCAGATTGTACCCTGAAACAACCTCTGAGTAGATCTAAGTTAGGGCATGGCTAAGGCACAGATCCAATTAACCCTGAAACAACCTCTGGGCTGATTTAAGCCAGGGCACGGCTAAGGCACAGATTGTAACCTGAAACAACCAGTCTGGGCTTATCTAAGTCAGGGCATGGCTAACTCTCAGATTGTACCCTGAAACAACCAGTCTGAGCTTATCTAAGTCAGGGTATGGCTAACTCACAGATTGAACCCTGAAACAACCATGCAGTCTGGGCTGATTCGTCTACGTTAGGAGATGCACAGATCGAATTTGAATATAGCTTGTTCGGTTTTGTGAAGAGCGGAAAACAGAAAACAGAAAACAGAAGGAAATCCCTCGAACAGAGAGGAAAACTTGTTAATTTGAAGATCATTCAGCATATCTTGTTCTTTCTTATTTTACCAGCCAATCTCACCTGGTCTTGGAGGGGCTAAATACACTTTTACCGCTGTCCAAGGGTCTGGCGGACCTTATGAGTGTCGCGCAACCAATGGAATAGCGGACTCAAATGGAAACACTGTTATATCAAAAATCATAAACATTATTATAACAGGTATGCTATATATATTTTAAATGGGGTAGCGATCCTTTCTTGCAGCTGAATAGCTGAAAATAGACCTTTTAGACTTGGGTGGAAGTTTTTTCTCATTTCAGCCCACCTGTCATTCCCTAGAGTATCATTTCTTTGTTAAACGTTTGTTCATGAGAAGACACATGAATATGGGTACGACTCAAACAGAGAATCGTATTTTCAAAAGAATGAAACGATATCTGAGATGGGAAAATATTACGCCCAAATCGAAAAGGTTTATTGCGGACGCAGCTGAAAGTTGTTGAGTCGCTGGCAGCCGACATACGACACATGTCTCAGCACGGAGCACAGCTCAAATCGAATTAAGGTTGATTTTTGCGAGGGGAGAAAAACCGGAGAACCCGGAGAAACAATGACGAATTCTACTCATATACCGCGAGTCCGAGGATCGAACGCATGCGCGCACTACATTACTAACAATGAAATAGCCTTGTCAATAAACGTGGCGACTATGACCAGAAAAACATGTACTACTTTCTAGCTTATTGGACGCTTCGTTTCAAGCAAGAGAGAGAGAGAGAGAGAGAGAGAGAGAGAGAGAGAGAGAGAGAGAGAGAGA